GACTAAGCAAATTAAACTACAGGACAAAATTCAAGGGATCCAAACTGTGGCCCAGACAGACACACATATATCCCTAACCAGCAGAGAGAAGCGTACCGTTGCTTTCTTCCTCTTTGTTGCCGAGGCTGCTCCTCCTGAGGATATTTAAAAATGTCCTGAAAAATGGGCTCATATTTCTTAAAAATTACAGCAGAAACAGTGAAGTTTCTTTCTAATCTCTCAGTCCGTTCTCTGAAATCTTGGGGTAGATTTGCCATCTCTTCCCATTTCTTCATCTTGTTAAAAAATTCAATTAAGCTAATATTAAAAATAAAAAAGAAATTTTCTAAATTAACACAAGTATACAAATGCAATTAAAAGTAAATAAAGATTAACTCATTGAATTATATTACTTTTAGACAGAAAAATCAAAACTCCTGCCTCTGACTAGCTTAATCTCCTACAGAATTTCTTTGATCTTCTGAATCAACTTTTATTCTCACAGTACTCTAAATGTTATTTACAAAATTGATTAAAAAAACAAATAATTAACTAGAGTAACGCAACCAACATTCACGTATCCGACTGTCAGATTTCACAAATATTAACATAGTGAATAAATTTTGCCATGTCTGCTTGTTCTACAGAAACAGCCAAAGTTCCCATTTGTACTCTCCCTCAATCTCATTCCCCACTCTCCTCCCCCTAAACATCATTCTAAAGTTAGTCTAAATCTTTCCCATCCACTACTTACTAGAGTTACTATATGGATATACTTGTATCCATAAACAGTAAGCAAACCTTGTGTATGAATGATTGTAATCTATAATAATAAAAGTGTAATATGCTAATTAGGCCAGACAGCGGGAAGACTTCCGGACGTCCTTCTGGATGAAGCTGTGGTGGCAGGGGCCGAGGCAGAGTTGGTTAGGGACGATCAGGGAAGGCAGGAGAGCAGTTAGGGGCGATCAGGCAGGCGAGCGGTTAGGAGTAGTGGTCCCGGATTGAGAGAGGGTGCAGGCCGGGCTGCGGGACCCCCCCGAGTGCATGGGATTCGTGTACTGGGCCTCTAGTTCTATATAATAAGTAGCATTTTGCAACTTGCTTTTTCATTCAATAATGTTGCCGAGTTAATGTTGATACATGTAGAACTAATTCATTCATTTTAATTGCTAGAAGTAGTCCTTCATATGAACTACCATGAATTTTTGCATTCCCCAACCAATTGAAATTGAGGTTTCTAACTTTTATTATAACCAAAAATATTGTACTGAACACATTCTTGTACCTAAGAATTTCTTTACCAACTAGCCCAGAAGTAGAATTGAGTCAGAGAAATGTGCAAAATTTCCCACTGAAGTGGTCTGTCAATTTGTTCTCTCAGCAATGCACACCAGTAATATAGTTTCTCTATCCCTACATAACGACCAATATTGGATTTATCAGACTTCAAATTTCTCCAATCTAATGAGTATGAAATGCTTGGTTTGTTTTTTTGTTTGTTTTTTTTTTACTTTGACTTCAGCTCTTTAGGCAGTGCCTCTTGTTCTTAGGCCTAAACATTACTCAGAATGGAGTTAGTCCAAAGTCAATAAATAAACTACAGCTAAATATTACATTTCTTGATAATTATTTTAATAGTGATTTTTTTAAACCACTAGGTCCGTAAATTATTTACCTTCCAAAATGCAAAACATCCCTTTTCCACCAATCTTCAATAAGCTATAAAAAAATTCACCCACAAGGCACAAATAATAAATGTAATAATTCAATTACACAACCAATAGAAAAAGCATTTCTGCCTCTTCTTGAAAGCATTATCTGACCCTTTTTATAACTGATTATAATACTGCTGCTTATCTCCCAAATGGGAAACTTAGAAGCATTTACACATTCCATACATATTACGATACAAGTCCTGCGCACGCAGTTTGGAGTGTAATAGCATGTAATATTTTATTAACTTTTCAATCTAGAGTATATTTCCTAAGGTTTCTCAATATCCTTATTTAGAATTCTTCAATATTACAGAATGAGGTAACCTTCTAATAGTAAACTCTTCATACACGTGCCTGCTATAGTAGCCACACTATTTTTCAATTCAAACATAGTTACCTCTGCTCTGAGCATCGCAGGAGCCTAGTTAAAGACACATAGTTTCCTTCAGCTGTCCCTTTGCTTACAGTTGGCACGGATTTTCTGCAAGCCACATATAAGGCACATGCCAACCAATGAAGATCATTTCCCTACAAAAACAAACGAAAATTGTTACTTAATGAGTTATATATATATATATATATGTATATTTCAACATAAAATTCTTATGTTTAAACTGAAAGTGATATTTATATGTTTGGGGAACTGTATTTTCAGCGATGGCCCTATTCTATGTGCTCATCTTTTTTTTTTTTATCCTCACCTGAGGCTATTTTTTCCATTAACTTTCTTAGAGAGAATGGAGGGAAGAGAGGGGACAGGGGACATCCACGTGAGAGAGACACATCAATTGGTTGCTTCTGGCTCCCACCCAGACCAGGATGTGGATCGAGTCTGCAACCAAGGTATGTGCCCTTGACTGGGAATCGAACCCATGATCCTTTGGAGCGTGGGCCAATGCTCTAACCACTGGGGAAACTGGCCAGGCCATGTGCTCTCCTTATAATGGCATTCTTCCCCTGAGAGGAGCGGTCTGTGTTCCCTCCCTTTAAACTGGCTCAACCAACAGCATAGGTCAAAGGTTTACTATGTAACTTTCAAGGGCATAAAAGGCAACACAGATTCCACCAGCTCTGTCAGGACCTGTGCCTTGGGAGGCCCAACCTGGGAGTAGAACACCTCCGGCAAATTACTTAACCATCAGAGAGGCTCAATTTTCTTATCTGCGGGCTGTGAGAATGGAATGAGCTACAAATATGAAGTACAGAAAAATACAAGGAATCAAAAGATAAACTCTGTAACCAGTATTCTGTATTAAGTATCACATTCCCTTATAGCATACCTGGCTACAAGTTCAAGGCAGGGGTTTTTAAGTTTTGTACCCTGGTCTATTCCCAGCACCTCCAATAGTGCCTGGCAAAGAATTAGTTGGTCAAAAAATATTTAATACATGAATAAATATTAATTTATTGTGTAAGCTGCGCTAAGACTCTGAGACTAAAGTCATAAAAAAATGAAGTAATCACACATTTTCAAAAATGACTTACTAACCATCTATTATTTGTCACTTGCTTATATAACACTGGACCTTCACCTCTATGAATTGAAATACCCCGATTGCATGGTGATAATGCTTGTTCTCTATAATTTACAGGATTATCAAGAGGGTAAAATAAGAGCTTATTTGGAGGCATTTATGCGCATCACCAAAAAGAGTCCTTCTCTTTGCCTGACCCCAGGAACCACTGGGAAATAACAGGCCTGTTCCGCTGGGTCACCTAAGTATCCTCGTCGACTCTACAGCACTAACCATTAGAGTGAGTATGTGCCAGAAACTACACATTACTACCTGACTTAACCCCCAGAACAGCTCTGTGACTTAGATGCATACATCTCAACTGTACCTATCACAAAATTGGAGTGGTTAAGTAAATTGTCCAAAAGCACCAAGATCTGTCAAATACTTAAAGCCACCATAGTACTAGCTTTTCTTTCTTCCTGCGCATATAACAATGGGGAGGAAAAAAAAAAACACGGAATTAAAATCCATGCAAAAACAACTACCCTGACCAGCTTGGCTCGGTGGATAGAGCGTCGGCCTGCGGACTGAAGGGTCCCAGGTTCCATTCTGGTCAAGGGCATGTACCTTGGTTGCGGGCACATCCCCAGTAGGGGGTGTGCAGGAGGCAGCTGATCGATGTTTCTCTCTCATTGATGTTTCTCACTCTCTATCCCTCTCCCCTCCTCTCTGTAAAAAAAAAAAAAAAAATCAATAAAATATATTTTAAAAAACAACTACAAAAATCACCTTAGTGGCACGGACGCAAAAACACCCTCGGTGCGCTCAGACACCGGGATCGGCCGTTCCCTCCAGGGCCTACCTGCCTGCCCCCCTCTCTCCAAAACCTGTCACACAACCTGCCAACGTCACGTGGCTTCCTGTTTGACGGCTGCCCGCTCGGGCGGGGAAACAGCTGATAAACAACCCGCACTTCCGCGTCCCTTCCCATTGGCCCACCACGGGGCGGGGCTTGCGAGCCTCGAGCCTCACTGGCTACAAAGAGCTTTTTTTTTTCCTCCTCCGCAGGCCCCGTTCGAAGAAAGGGGCACAACCACCAGCCTAAATCACCGGGACTGTCAGAGCCCAGGGCAGTGTCGGGGGGCGGCCCAAAGGGGTTCAAGGTCGCCGCGGCCCTGCCTTCCGAGTGACACCGGGGGCGGGGGCCCGGCGTGTGTCCACGTCCCGGCGGGCGGAAAGCCCGTTTCATCCCATGGACGGTGGAGGGAACCCCCCTCGGCCCCACGTACGTGAGCGCGCGGCCCCACACCTCATGCGCTGATTCAAAGCTGGACAGAGGCGATGAGGTTCCGCGGAAAAGGAGCCGAAGGAGGGGACCAGAAACCCCAACGTCGGGCGACTCGCGGCGCCCCCACGGGCAAGCCCCTCCCCTGCTCCGTGCGGTCCCCGCACCCGCACCTGTTCCTTCTGCCGACCAGGTGGCTGTCAATTTGTAGCCAGGACCCCAGCGCAACCTCGGCCGAGCGGGGGCTGCATTAGGGCAACAGGTGTTCCCCATTCGGAACCCCAAAGGGAAAGAGCAGCAAGACGCAGGGGTTCGCCTTCGGAGCCGCCGAGAGCTTTTCAAAAGCCGGGTTTCCAGGTCTAATGCGCGCAGCGAGGGGTTCCCACCCCGGGGCCCGTTGGGGGGGATCCTGAGAGTGCCCGACCCAAGAGACAGGAGGTCCCTCCCCGCGGCGGGCGTGACCACTAGGCCGGGAAGACCTCGCCCTCTCCCCCGGGGCGCACCTCCAGCGTGTAAGCTCTCGCTCATGCTCCGGTAGCTGTCCCAGGCCTCCGCCCGCGCCGCCTCGTCCATGTTGAGGCGGCAGCACAGCTCGTCGAACCGCTGCTGGGTCTGCGGAGTCGGCGTCCGCGTCGGCTGCGCGGACTCCTCCGCCTCCCCGTCGTCGTCGTCGTCGTCCTCCTCCTCCTCTTCTTCCTCGGAGCCTGCCGCCGCCGGAGGGGGCGGCGGGGGCGGCGGCGACTGGTCGCCTCCAGATGGCATGGCGCACCCTTGGGCGGCCAGTCCTCAGGTGAGCTGCGGGCCCGGGCCCGTAGCCATTCAAACCGCGAAGCGCCCGCCCGTCCGCCGCTTATAAGGCGACTGCGTCGCCGCTGACGGCGCGTGACCTCACGTAGGCACCCGTAGTTCTGAGGATGGCCTGCCGGGAAATGTAGTCCGGGCCGGGGGCCCGCTCAGGTCAAAAAGCATTTCAAACTAATCAGTTCGCTCACTCTCACACAGGCTGAAATGCAAGTGGCTGCTCTACATTGTAGGTGCGTCCCCGTCGCGAGAGCATCCAGCAGGGCGCTCTCGAAAAGAAAACATCCAAGGAACACCGACATGTGAAGGTTTAATATCCAAGCTGTTCCCAGAAAGAAGACTCGACAGCTCGGTGTCCTTATTTGAAAAGTAGGAATAGCGAAGGCCTGTCTGCCAAGGTTCGTTTTCGGCCTCGCTCCTAATTTCTAGCTTTTTCCTAAGTTTACATTTTATTTGAGCCTCTTAATTATTGGATTTTTAAAAAGCAGTAATTCCTTCCCCTGCCCCCATAGGGCCAATATATGTTCACTGTGACGCATTTGTACTACCCTCAGCCACCCAATTAACTTGGTCCCTTACTTTTTATTTTGCTTTCTCTTTTCCTATCTATAGACTTGAATCACTTTATTTCCAATCCTCTTTGGTTTATAAATGAGTGTAGTGTACATTTTCATGCTTGAGGAGCCTGACAGCAATGTGAACTGAGGAAAAGAAATACTGGGGCAAAAACCCGTTTCAGGAAACTTTAGCAGGTTGCCTGGCGTCGGAGAGGAGGATCTGGGGAAAGATAACAGGACGCTCAGGGACAATTCTTGGATTTGCTTTCTCAGTGATGAGATAAGGTGATCAAAGGCAAGAACAGAGGTCAATACAACTGCTTTATAAGCATTTCTAAGTTCATAAGAAATTCTAGTAGTTTCCTTATATTTAGGCTGGGGATACTAAATTTTAGAAAAATGATATTGCTTATTTTGGACACCAGCAACACAGTTTTACTAGAACAAAAATTAGATTTGTTTAGAGGTAAGATTTGTTTACCATTTTCAGTAAAGTTTAATGTAATTGAAATAAAATTTATGGTAATAAACCATCAAATGTTTTGTAAAAATATGGTTTGCTTGTTAATACCAATTATTTTCAAAGCCAATGGACTCTAAATACTATAGTAACTTGATACTATCATCCATTTTAAAAGTACATTTACAAAACTTTTAACTATTAGACATTTTATATCATCCCTATTTCTCCTTTACCTAATATTCCCATCCTACTATACCAACAAAATTTTATCTTAATGTTTTGTGCTTGAAAGTCCATTCTTGAATCTTTCATATTTCCTGTCATCAAAAATGTATGTACTGACCTGGCTGGGTGGCTCGGCTCAGTTGGTTAGAACATCAATCTATAGACCAAAAGGCTGAGGGTTCGATTCCTGGTTAGTGCACATAACTAGGCAGTCTGTCTCTCTCTCTCTTAGTCAATTAATAAAAGCATACCCTTGGGTGAGGATAAAAAAAAAGAAAAATATGTGCAAATTAACTTTTAGGTATCCTTCTGTTTATTCTTTTATGTCAGATTCATTGAGGTGTAATTTGCATGTAGTAAAATTCACTTTCAAGTATACAGTTCTATGAATTGTGAAAAATCGTCATGTCCACCATAATCAAGACACTAACCGTTTCCATCACTCAAAGTATTCCTAGTACCTCTGTGTAGTGATTCCTCCTCACACAGCCCCGGGCAACCACTGGTCAGTTTTCTGTCCCGTAGTTCCGTATTTTCCAAACTGTCATATAAATGTAATCATACATTATGTAACCTTGATTGGGCTTCTCTCAACTTAGCATAATGCCTTTCAGATTCACCCATGTTGTTGCATGTACCAGTCATTTGTTCCTTTTTGTTGCTAAGTCACATGTATTGCATGTATCTCCCAACATTTATTTATCCGTTTATCAGCTGAAAACGTCCAGGTTGTTTCCTTTGGTGATTATGAGAAAAGCTGCTACTAACTTGCATGTGTATGTTTTTTGGGTGACACAAGTTTTCATATGATCCAGCAATTCCACTCCTGGGTACTTATCCGGAGGAAACAAAATCACTATCTTGAAAAAATGTCTGCACTTGTATGTTCACGGAGCCATTACTTACAATAGCAAAGACATGCAAACCTGTGTTCATCAACAGATGATGGATAAAAAAATATACATACACAATGGAATATTACTTAGCCATACAAACGAAAATCCTGCCATTTAAGACATGGATGGACCTTGTGTGCATTATATATACGTGAAATAATTCAAACAGAGGAAGACAAATACTAGTACTGTATGACCTCACTTGTGGAACCTAAAAATAAAAAAACAAACTCATAGGTACGGAGAACAGATTGGTGGTTCTCAGAGTCGGGAGATTGGGGGAGAGGGGGAGGAATAGGTGAAGATGGTCAAAAGATACAAACTTCCCAACTTATATGTCCTGGGGATGTAATGGACAGCATACTGACTATACTAAACAGGGCTGTATTGTATATCTGAAAGTTGCTAAGAGAGATCTTAAAAATTCTCATCACAGCCCTAACCGGTTTGGCTTAGTGGATAGAGCGTCGGCCTGCGGACTGAAAGGTCCCAGGTTCGATTCTGGTCAAGGGCATGTACCTTGGTTGCGGGCACATCTCCAGTAGGGGGCGTGCAGGAGGCAGCTGATCAATGTTTCTCTCTCATCGATGTTTCTAACTCTCTATCCCTCTCCCTTCCTCTCTGTAAAAAATCAATAAAAAAAAAATTCTCATGACAAAAGATATTTTGTAGCTGTGTGGTAATGGATGTTAACTAAACTTATGGTAATCGTCACTATACACACACACACACACACATACACACACACACACACACACACACACTGAGTGGCCAGATTATTATGACCACCTGACATTTGTAGGCAAATTAGCCGTACACTGCATCGTATGGGATATGGAAGCCGAAGGCCTGTTCGAACACCTTTGCTGTCTGCAGTTACCAAGATAAAACGTCTCCAGTTCGCACAGGAACACAAGGATTGGACAGTCGAGCATTGGAAAAAAAGTCATGTGGTCCGATGAATCACGTTTCCAGTTGCATCATGCAGATGGCACCCTCTTATTGTTGCAGAAACAGCATGAAAGCATGCACCCCACATG